AAATACAGCAACAAAAAGAAAGCACATTTTACTTGTTTTAAAACTTAATTCTAATAAAATTTGCAATTTAAAAACAGAAATACGGTAATATTTTTAGTTTGATTTTAGATAACATTTTGTTGTCTAATCAAACATGTCATGTAAACAGCCAATAAGAACATTTTATGTCACTCACTCACACATATTCATATAATTTGATTTAGTTAAAAAAGCTAAGAGAGCAAAATACATATGATTAGGAGGGGTTGAAGTCTTAGGTATAGTCCCCCTCTCTAAGTCTTTATGTTATATGAAGGAACTTTACTTTAAAACTAGATTTTTAGTTGCAGTCTGGTTGTAACAGGATTGAAACATGGGGAAACAATTTTATAACAAGCAAAATGTTGYTAAATTTGTTGTCTATATTTTTATATTCAAATATTCAAAATGTCAATTTGTTACCTGTTGTGTTCTATAKGTGAGGTTCTGTAAATTTGAAAATAAACTGTAGGGATTAGTCAAACTATTTTGGTTTGTAATGGTAGAATATTAAAATATGCCTACTCTGAATTTTTTTTTTCATTCTAATGAAGTGTTGCAGCTCTGAACAAAATTGCAATAAATGAAGTAGCGAGAAATAAAAAATAAAATAAAATAAAAGCTTATTTTTGTCTTGTTTCTCTGTCAGAATTACACGCAAACAACGTCTATATGCAGATTCAATACGAATTCAGAACCACAAATTTATGTTGAAAATCTTTAGAGACACTTCTAGAACATTGCTACAAATGTTATTGGTACCATATTTTCCMACAGCACGGTACATTAACTTTTTAGTGTGGCATTATAAACATTTTAAACACAAAATAAAGCTTATGACAACTGCRTCAAAAACAATTAAATGTAAAATCTCGCGAGAAAGAACGGGATCTGCCCATTTCAACAGGGGACGGAAACCCCGTTCCACCCTCTTTCCCCTCGCTGTCCAGAAGCAAGGTAAAGCGCTATTCTTACTTCGTTTAATTTATCAGTAAAAGTAGCCGCAGTATTGATGTATTTGCCTTTTAAACACATTGCATGCGGACATAACGTACTTATTAATAAAGTGGTTGAGGGTTGAGACAAGAATTTAGCCACAGTTCAGAGTACTAAAGTGTTTAATTTAGGAGAAGCTCTCAGTAAATCGCTTTTAGTAATGGCCGCCTCCATGTTGCCTCGTTTAGGCTTGCTAGCATGTGCTACTTTGACTTGTAGATATTTTTATCGTTCAAACGTTAAGATGGATGTTATTGAAATGGTTTCACGCAAAAAACAAAATTATATTCTCGTGTGACTTAAAAATGAAATGTTATAGGGTTCTTTAATAAATAAATCTTTATTATTAGCATGCTCGTTAGCCGACAGGCGAATAAGCTAACATGCCGGGTGAGATCGCATGGATGAAAACATGCATGTTAAAAGGTCTGAAGTGTCGTATTAAAAGTTTATTATTTTATGACGTGAACATAGTCACTTACTGTGCCTCTGCTAAAGTTGTTGGGATCTAACGACGWTGTATTTTTAGCTGACGTGCTTCCATGATGAAGTGTTGAATTTTGGTAATTTAGATTGTGGAGGATAGTGGACACTGACTGATGTGGCTTTTGCACTGTTTTCCACACAGACACCTGCTTCAGTTGTAAATCATTAAGTGATTCATAAAAAAAATATTGCACAGTGTTTTAGGAGGGGCCGTCTAGATACTGGGGATATTTTAGATTGTCAAAAGGATGAGAACAAGATGCTACTGCTGAAATCTCACGGACAATACTTCACAGTTCACCACAAAACTATGTTGGCGTTTTAAAGTTTTTTTTTTTTTTGGTTCAAAAGCAAACTTTCAGAAACAATTCAAAAGAATTTCCTCGTGTCTTTAGAGTTTTTAAAAAGGCTTAATTGGCCAWATGTAATTATATAAATGTCTGTGTTCTCACTCATTTAAAAATATTGTTGCTCCATACTAAGTTTAGTCGCAGTTATTAATCAACACAAATGTGTCTCATGTACATWGGTTTATTTTTAACAATTATATTCAATCACTTAGTTTCTGCAACTATTATATGTAGAATCTTTTGCTGTTGAACGTGTTTTAGTAACACATGTTTTGCTTTGTAGATGCCTGGTGTTACAGTGAAAGACGTTAACCAGCAGGAGTTTGTCCGTGCTCTTGCAGCCTTCCTGAAGAAGTCAGTATTCAAAAGCATTGTGTGCAAAGTTTCTTTCTTTTTTTCCCCCCAGTATAAACACAGACTGACTTGTGTTTGTGTTATTGCAGTGTAAAATTAGTGATAATAAACTAGCTAAAGGTGCACATAACATTAAAGCATATATACTGGGGTCTGTTGTGGTAGGTTTTATCCTGAATYATTCTGCCCTGTCTGTAGGTCAGGAAAGCTGAAGGTACCTGACTGGGTGGACCTTGTAAAGCTGGGCAAGCATAAGGAGCTAGCTCCCAGTGATGAGAACTGGTTCTATATCAGAGCTGGTAAGTCCAAACATTTGTTAGTCACATTAGTTTTTTTTTAATGTACTCTTCTTAGAAAGAGCAAGACTAACTTTTTGATTCATGWATGGTCTCTTGTCGCAGCATCCACAGTTCGTCATTTATATCTCAGAGGTGGTGCAGGTGTTGGATCCATGACCAAGATCTATGGAGGCCGCAACAGGAACGGTGTGTGCCCTGCCCATTACAGCAAAGGATCAAAGAATGTGGCTCGTAAGGTCCTGCAAGCCCTTGAGCTTCTCAAGATGATTGAGAAGGATCCCAATGGGTGAGTAATACTTTGCAGTTTATTCCTATTTTGATAATMTAACTTTTAAAGCTGATTTTTGTAGTGGTACTCTTGTAAAATAGCAAATTATGTTTTGTTAACTTCTGTTGTTAATGTGATACTACTTATACGGACATTTCTTTGAATATATGATGTATACGTTCACACTTCTGTACTCAGAGCTTCAAAATCCAGTTCCCAAGACTTGACAACAGTGCTTTTGTAAAAGTTAGGATTTGATTTCTCAAGGCAACTGGCAGGTTTTGTTTTGAAGCTGCTGGGAACAGTATAACGATATGGCAAAAAAAAAATCATATCAAGATATACATTATGATGAGTGGCGGTAACGATATATATCACAATTTAAAACTTATAATAGAAAATAAATAAATCACACAATAATTGAGTGGAACAAATATGTATAGGTAAAAAAATTTAGACCTTAAAATCTCCTTTTTTAAGGGACACTTTAAAGTCTCCCATAAAAATCTAAATTTAAGGGAGATCTACCTAGTTAAATCAAATATGTGTGTATGTATATATATGTATATATATGTATATATATATACACACACATACAATAACTTTAATGTAATAGATATTCTGCATCCATTGGATGTTGTGTTTGGAATCACATGCTTCGTTTTAAGGTGGTAAAACAAATTGTTTGTATTTATTCCTTTCTACACACTTTGCAGATTATTTTTTCTGCACTCCACGTGTTTAATCTGTGTGCGCTCCGGCGGGGTGACAATCATCCCGTTTATGCTTTACTTTTAAAAAAAAAATTTTTTGGAAAGACAGTCTGACTGTCACCCTTACCCACAGCGCTTCCCCGCTGTACAAAGAGACAGTAAAGGCTGAGTTTTATAGTCGCGCTTTGGAACGCGTGCGAAGTGAGCGCGGAGTGCGCGCGCATTCGACCGTGCGGCGTCACGCAATGACCGCAGGAGAAACGAGGTCCAGACTCGGCGAGCTTTTGTGCGTCCTGGAGCACTACTTCACCTGCACTGACAGTCGCCTCGCTGCGTCATGTGCCCCGGCGCACGCTCCTCCCGCAGCAGGCAGTGTGGTCGGTCGGCATCCGACCGGTGGACGCGCCGTCACGTAAATATGTAAACAGTTCGGCGTTCATTTTCACGCTCCCGAACCAGGTCCGGATAAGTTTTTTKTCTCCTCTTCATTTGCGCTCTCAGCCATGCTGCTTCCCGCTTCCTCTATCTTGACTCTAGCCAGTTACGTCATCAAAAAGAATTATGCGGTTGGCYGGTAGACTACAGATCTCTATCATAGGACAAATTTATATCGTTTCTACCATATATTGTTTATATCGCGCATTCCTACCCTGGAGTCCTTGGACACCCTTATGTCCTAGTCACATGACCAATTTAGTGGGAAAGATTTACTCTATGTTAAAATCTGTTCCAAATTGTGTCAAAATTACAGACTTAAGGCATCAATTTTTAAATTGTGTTGATAGATAAATGAATTACAGAACTTTTTTTTTATGTTCGTCATATTTGAAGCAGAGAAGGAGCGCCGAGTGGACTGACTGGAGTAATCTCCAGTCAGTCTGCCTGCTGGCATTAATCGTCAAGTGCCAAAAACTAATCGATTGTTTTTCTGACAATAAATTGCACACGATACGATTATGCCCAGCCCTACTTACATGTGCTAGTGAAATATACATGTGTAAAAAAATAGTGAACAGTACAGCTCTTAGTACTTCTTAACATTGTTTTTTTAGTGGAGCAGCCTGAGGGTGAGCCACAGATGTGAACTGAGTCACTTCTACAAATGCTATCAGGATTAAAATGAAATGTCACATTCTTATGAATACTGAAAGTTTGTGTACAGATCTTTTTAGGAATTTARGTGCTGCTATTGATGCATTCTTTCCATGCTTGGGGTTGTATCTGAAAGATATACGTAGTGTGGATGGTTTGTAAAGCAAGGAAATGTTAACTGTTTTACAGATACATAGTTAGACATTTGTGTTGTTGTACTCATAATGCGGAGGAAGCCTGTTTCATTTTGAACTGGTCTAAGTTCATTTTTTCTTTTCCTCAGCACTTTGTCTTATATTAGTGAGGAATTGTTCAGCAAAACTCACTAAACTGTACAAGCAACATCTAAACTTGTGATGCATAAAGAAATGTATGACTTAAATTCTGTTGTTCTTTGTTAGTGGGCGAAGACTGACCTCCCAGGGAACCAGAGACCTGGATAGAATTGCTGGCCAGGTGAGAAGTTGTTTTGTATAGATTTTGGCAAAAGTKTGTAAAAACTATATATAAAAGATAATTTTCTCTATTTTCTGTTATTCCATTGTACTTTGTGTATTTTATGAGAAGTTGTCTTATGGAATAGATAATCCCTCCTAGCAGTTAAAATATAATTTCTGCCCAAATCTCACATTACTATGTACAAGACATTTCTATTTGACATTGTGCTAAGCACAAGTACTGGTGCTTAAAGCATACCTGATTGTAGTGGAGTTGATATTCATTTTTTAAATGCAGAGAAAAGAAGTGCCGTGTTGTTTTTTCTTTAATGGAACACCTTGTCTGTTGAGGAAGTACATGACACTTGACATGTGAGACTTCTCTAGTAGCACTTGTCCTCAGGCAGATTTCCTCTTGCTGTCTAATTATACATACTGTGTGACTGCAACTAGAATTTTCTTTTTCTTTCATAAATAAAGCAAACCACAGTTGGGTCTTGTCAAAAATCAAGCAAGGCAACAGTGTTGTGATAAGCCAWGGGTAAAAGGGGGTAAACATAAGGAGGGAATTTCATGCTTCACAAGTCTGCCGTATGGTACCATTTTTCTTCTTGTTTACCCATACTAATGAGCGGTATGCAGATGAGCAGACCTGGGCTGGGCCCCGCCCTCCTGCCTGCTTCATAAAACTTACATCATGCATGTTGATGTAGCTCCAACACCGCTTGAATTACCCTTGTGGTGTTGTGTTGACTTTTCAAGCAAGGCTTGGCTTCCAACAGAGGTTGATGGAAAGTATCAGTCACAACTAATAAACTTTTAGGACCCCGGGAAAATTGATGAATTCATATTCCTATGTACATCTGGTTTAAAACACACTAGATCCGTTAAATCTGAGTATAAAGAGAAAAAAAAAACTTAAAGTTGAGCTGATAAAATGTTTGATTTGATCTTGGGTAAAAATGATTGTTGTACAACCCAATAATGTTGCCCTCTTTCCAACCCAAACGTTTGGTTGGGGCTTTGATAAAAGTTTGCCTTTTGTTATAAAAACAAAATTTTCACTATTCTTATTGTCTTTTTATTTTCCTCCACAGGTTGCAGCTGCAAACAAGAAATCTGTTTAATAAACATTTTTTCTTTTTGAAAAGTCAAATGCTTGGTGTGCTTTTTTTAATGTGGAAAATGACTTATCTGTGCAAGATATTCATATACAAACAATAGCATTATTCTCTATTAAGTACTTTTAAGTCATGTCTTGGTGTTTAGCTTTCAGTGAAGTTTTTTTGTTGTCCTTTTGCCTAAAACCTATAAAGTATCTGAGAAAAACAGTCAATAAATCTAAATTATTGGGTGAGCCATTTCTCAGCTTGTGTATGAACGGTCATGCAACAATCAAATGTTTTATCATGTTTCATTAAGCATTTTGAAATGGCTTCCTGAAGCTGCTTCATCAATGGGCAAATGGCACCTTCTCTATAATGACCGCATCCCATTTTCAAACCGTTTCTGCCATTTTATTCATCTGTTGCTGCTGCAGAGTTCATTTTTCAGTTGCGTCCCCTGTGTACAGAATCATCTGTGATGCCTTGATGGAAGAGTGTTTCTAAAAACAAATCGATGGCAAATTATCACATTTTTTAAAAAGTCATTTAATTTAATAATTGTGATGTTAGGTGACCACAGTGCCATCTAGAGGCTGAAATTATTTTGTGCTTAATTTTTTTTTTATTTTAACAAACCAAAAAGATTTGTAGAGCAAATATACTTACTCAGAGCAAACCTATAGCCAATTTCTGTATGCCAAATTGTGATTAATGATTAAGAACTTACAAATATTTTGAAGGATTATAAACATTCTGTTGTAAAATGCTCCATTTTCTTATTTTCTTCCTTTGATCAAGGTTTTGCCATTTTGTGTACTTTGTGTAACTTTAACAAGCTTTAATCACAATCTGCACTCGAAGCTTGGTTGGGCAGAGAATCACTCTTGATTTAGCGGTGTGACTAAAATCCTGCAGAGGGTGCCAGAGTCTATACAATATAAATCATGACGTTACSACCTCTTTGGGGTGAGTTGCTTCCTCCAAATCCCCAAGTGTTAAAAGCAACACCTTATTCTCTGTAGTGGCAAAGTTTCAATTAGGACTTTATTTCAGAATATGAAATGAGAAAGGCAATTTGAAGGCTTTTCCTCACAAATAGTTCTGGCTTAATATAAAAACAAAGAAATTATGTTGTGGTTTTTTTTCTTTTCGTCTTTATTTCCCAGTTAAGCTACAACTAGTTAAAACACTGAAGCAAGAGATGAAAAAAACAAAACGCGTAATAAGACAATCATTCATGTTAACTCAGTTTATAGCTGTTTTCTCACTAGTAAGAAGTTACTGTGCAGATGGAGCTTAGTTGCATGTCTGAGAGCAAATACTCAGTCTTGTATTTGCAAGATACTATTGTACATTTGTTGACAGTATGCCTTTTTATGGTTCCTAGTCTGTCAGTTKTGTGTATACAGCACACAATGCTTTCCCAATGGACTGAGTGCAGCTGTTTTTTTTTTGTTTTTTTTCATGTCAATCATAAGTCTCCAATTATTCTGCACACTTCTCTCTGAAAACACTTGTCTTTTTATGGAGCTTTCTCAGATTTTCTTATTCTCAATCTCCCTGTCTTTCAGACCTCCATCCTGCCACTACCTGCTGTTTTTATTTGAAGAACAGCTGTTTTTAAAACACCTGAACCCATCATTGCTTCTTCACCTGTCCAATCCCCCTCCCCCCCGTTCTGTCCCTTAAGATCCTGTTTTTGCATTTACCCTGTAATTTAGAGCAGAGAGAAGCAGCAACATGTCCTTGGGTGGTAGATAAAAACGTAATTTACTGCTGCGTTTCACTTCCCGTGTATCTATATTTGGTGAAATGTGCCTTTTCTTGCAAGTCAGTCAGCTTGTGCAATGAACTGCTTTATGCAGCATAATTATCAGCAGGATTCACTTTGCCAATTACTGTTGTCAAGCAATTACCACATTTAACAAATGCACATTCAAGTGGCTTGTTGGTGCCGTGTGTGAGTATGGGGGTGGCTGCACCTTCTCACTCTCCCAGGTCTTTGGCAGCTCAGCAAGATCACGCTGAGAATGGCTGCAGACCTGCCTCTCACCTCGTGGCTGGAAATGGAAGATAACTAAGAAATGTCTTGCTGCTGCACAAGTCTCTGCAAATAGAAGCACTATCAGGCCAGCCGAGACACATTGTCAACCTACAGCTTTATGCCCCATGGCATGTTTTCCTCCTAAGACATGACATTTTCCAGAAAGTTTCCCAGCCTTCCCAGAGTCCTGTCACATTGAGTCWGCCGAGTTGGTGGAAGCTGACCCAGATGGAAGTGGCTCAGTCAAGATAATGGTTTCCTGTTTAAACACAAATGTTTTATCATAAATTGCATTATTTTCTTACCAAGACAAGGACTGCATGTTTTCACTTTTATTTTTCTTACTGGGAAAAAATTTTTTAAACCTCATTTGAATGAAAGTTTAAAATCTGGATCTTYACATAAATTTGAGTTTTTCAGCATCAGAGGTTGCTTAATGTGGAGGTCTTAACACAATTTACAAAAGAATTTATTCAAAATTGACTTTTTTAAAAAAGTTTTATATCATGTTATGTCATTTCCTCATCAAAAAACATACCCAGAGYGTTGCTTTGACACATTCATACGTGTTTGAGAAATGCTTGAATCTCCTGTGGTAGCMATGTGGAGCTGCCACATTCGGAGGTGCACGACCAYGCCCCGGGACACTACGCAGGGCCAATGCAGAGGGGTGGGGATGGCACAATTTTGTCACTACTGGCGTGTGCCCTGCGTTGACTATAAACCTAGCTTAAACGATTGTTGGTACAAAGCACCGCCTGTAGCTCCTCCTCCAAAGCATTTGCACCAGTCATGGGAGTGTCAGAAATGGCAGGAGATTCAGAGACAGAGGTCAATTTCTAGGCATTTAGATATGGCCATGATGCAAAGCCACACTTATTTTTGACATTATGGTGTATAGAACAGGGATAGTCAATTCTGGTCGTAGAGGGCAGCAGCCCTGCGTGTTTTACTTGTTTCTCTGCTCCAACACACCTGATTTGAATGAATGGAGGATTTTCAGGCTTCTGCAGAACTTGGAAGAGAGAATCACTGACTGAGAAGGGAGAAAATTAAAACATGCAGGGCTATGGACCTTGAGGGCCAGGATTGACTATCCCAGGTGTAGAATTTAGGTATCTGCCTGAAAAATACATACCACACACACACACATTATATAAAAAAAAAATTCCCTTCTCACCCTCCGCGGGTGGTCTCTTTCATCCTCTGAGCTCGGGTCCTCTACCAGAG